TACAATGTATTTTAAAAGGTTTTACAACGTATTTATAAGGTATTTATAAGATATTATAAGATTTTACAAGCTATTTTATAAGGTTTTACAAGTTATAATGTTTTTACAAGTTTTTTATAAGGTTTTACAAGTTATAAATACCTTATAAAACCTTATAAGTACCTTGTAAAACCTTTTAAAATACATTGTAAAACCTTACAAAACACTTGTAAATACTCTGTAAAACCTTTAAAATACCTTGTAAATTTTTCCCGCCAAAAAATTTCGCCAAAAAAATTGCGGAATCACTTTTCCCGAAAAAATAAAATTTTGGCGGGAAAATTGCGGGATCACGTTTCCCGCCAAAAAATATTTTGTTTTTGTGGACCTAATTTTGTTTCAAATAAGGGTAAAATGGTCATTAAAAATTAAAAGAGGGCAAACTTAAAAATGGACTCTCAAAGCGGGCATTTTTGAAAAGGGGTATTGAAAAAGGGGCATTTTTAACAATTTCTCAATTAATAATGTGGGACCATAAAATTTTATTAATTTAGAGAGGTATCAGTTTATCAATAAATTAATAATTATTAATTTATAAGGAGATTTTACTAATTTTATAATATTTAAAAAAACTTTTATCTAAAAATAAAATTTTTCTTTATAAGCAATACCCTTTTTAAATCAATTGCAAGTAGAGAAGCAATGATTAAGTTTAGAAAACAACACAAAAAATTTTCGAATATTAGAGTCATATTTTATTAAAAAATTTAGGTATAATATTTTAAATATATATCATAGTAATTTATATATGGAATATATAAATTTATATCATATATATATATACTGATAAGTTTATATAATTATTAATTTATAGTATAGATGGGACCATATTTTACATGAGATTTTCAAAAAAAATTATTATCTTATTAATTTATCGATTTCTATCATATTTTACACTGGTCCCAACTCGGATTGGAAAAATTTATTAATTTAGAAAGGTTATTAATTTATAAAGTATTAATTTATAGAGGTTTTACTGTATTTTAATATGTATTAAATAACAGTATACATTAAAAATATAATAATATGAAAAAATTTGAAACTCTAATAGAGTTGTGGAGTCCTATCGTGGCGATAATTACTCTCTTCCGCACTTCCAAACCATATATAAGATCTAGTCTGCTTAGGTGTGTGACCCTGTAGGATCGAACAATATTAGTAATGAACTTCTCAAATCATCGATTATAAGAGGCTTCTAGCAAAACATTAAGTCTGTAGGTGGCTGAAGTTGTTTCGACGAATGTCCGCGTGTAAGAATTGTTGTTCTTTTACTTAGCAAAAAAAAAAAGAATTGTTGTTCTTTTGTGGTTTGTCTCCAGTCGATTTCAAGGTTTTTGCCTTGAGCCTAGTGTTTCTTGCTCTCTCCGATTAGCTGGTGAGGTGTGTTGGCAGTTGTATTTGTGTCTCTGGTCGCGTTGGGTTCTTGCTTTCCTCCCTGTTGGTTTGCTTCTGGTTTGTCTTCGGTGTGAGGTCTATCCGGGCTTATTGGTGCTTCCGACGTTTACAGGTTCTATAGAGAAGCTTTGTGAGAGTCTCTCTTGCCTTTGTTCAATTTATAGTGCTTTGATTGCTTTTTCTCCTCGGCGTTTGTTCCTCTTTCGATGTTTTTCTCTATATTTGGTTTTAATCAGTTTCCCTGTATCTTAGGGCTTAGCTTCCCTCTTTTGGGCAAATGTTTCTGGGGACATTCATGTAGTCCGCCGGCATATGTATTTCATCTTGTATCCTTTCTTGGCTATTAATAAAATTCAGATGACAAAAAAAAAAAAAAATTGATACATAGCAACATTTGTTAATGAAGTCTTCTCGCCGAAACTCTAAAAGCATAGGAGACAAAAGAGTTTGTCAAGTTTTGCGATTTGATCTCTACGGCACTAGCATCCCGTTTGATCTAGTTTGTGTGCGTGTGGATACCAGTAGAGACACAACGTTTGGAGTGCTTCACAACTTCGGTTATTTTGATTCATCTTTCCGCTGCGAATTAACCAGGTATATTTATAAACTAATGACATAGACAGGCCCGGTCCTTGGATATTAGGGGCCTAAAGCATACTTCAATAGTAAATTATTTTTTAAAAAAAAACTGTTAAAGATGAGATTTGAACTTGGGACAAGACACTACTTTAGAGACTATATAACCACTAGACTAACAAAGTTTCTTAATAATATGGGTCTAAAATCTTTGTTATATTTTGTGACCTAAAACAGATGCTTTGGCTGCTTTATGGGTGGGTTGGGCCTGGACATAGATTTAATTCTATATTTATACGCTGGCAATTGAATTTGTGATTAGTTTTATAAATCGTTATAAACCGGTACAAATTCCAACAGTGGTATCAGAGCCTATGTATTTAATTTTGAAATTAAATCTAATTTTATATTTATGTTTTTGTCAACCGATCGTTATAATTGATAAATTATTAATCGGCATAAGCATGCATAAGTTTGTTTTACAATTACGTAGTCATATGATGAATATTTAATTGTTATAGCATGCATGCACAAACACGTTTTTGTCTTCGTGTGGTTATTGTTTAGGGACGATTTGTGCAGAGACAAAAATAGAGCTTCTAATTAGGAAATCGACAAAAGTCGATTTTGTCGGAGACAGAAAGAAAAACAGCGTTACTGTTATAGAACTTGTTGTTCTTATTGATTAATGAATGAGGTTTCAATACATATATATACATGATGAGGGGAGACAAATCCCCATTGGGCTAGTAAACCCTAAAGCCCAAAAGCCCACTAAGATAAGATAGACCGTCATAAGGAGAATCTTCTAGAACATGGACATGGGCCTTCTAGAATATGTATTAGGCCCAACGGTTATGGAGTCCATCCGACCATGCGGTCTACAACACTCCCCCTTGGATGACATAACCGTGTAGATGCCAAAGGATCTCAGTAATACGCTCGGGGATGCTGCCTCATTAAAACCTTACCAGGAAAACCCATTGGGACAAAACCATGATTAAGGAAAAAGAGTACAGCACGTATTACTCCCCCTGTTTTGGTCATCCCTGCAAGTCCTTAAGTCTCCGTATTCCAATTTGATGCGTGAGCTTCCTCAATGTCGATGTTGGTAATGCCTTGGTGAAGAGATCGGCTCAGTTGTCGCTGGACCGAACTTGTACCACTCGAACTTCTCCATCCCTTTGCAAGTCATGCGTGAAGAAGAACTTTGTTAGAATGTGCTTCGTCCGATCTCCCTTGATGTAGCCGTCCTTGAGCTGAGCGATACAGGCTGTGTTGTCTCCTCATATGATGGTCTTTGATGTTGTAGTAGCTGCGCCTTGAAGAAGGCTGCCTACGTACCCTTGGAAGGGATCAAGCCACACGTAGTTCCTATTTATTGACCATGCCATAATCTGATCTTACCTGCATTAGCAAAACAAACTAAACCAAAGCAAACTAGACCTTCTTTGGTTAGATCAGTATAGAATAAAACCCAAATAAACAAACATAGGAAGAATAGAATTTAAAATTTAACCAAACCTTCCTTCAAACATTTCTAGTGCCTTTGGGTTGATCATGAACTAAATTTAGACAAAGGAGGTTCACGGCAAAACATATGTCTGGTCTAGTATGGCTAGCCAAGTACATTAACGCTCCTATGGCACTGAGGTATGGCAGTTCAGGACCGAGAACTTCTTCCTCGTCCTTCTTTGGACCGAATGGATCACTATCCAATCCGAGGCTTCTCACCACCATTGGGCTGCTCAATGGGTGGGCCTGGTCCATATTGAATCTCTTGAGTACTTTTTCAGTATATGCCTTTTGATGCACAAGGATTCCATTATTCACGTACTCAAGTTGCAATCCCAAACAGAATTTTGTCTTGCCTAGGTCTTTCATCTCGAATTCTTTCTTTAGATATTCGATTGTTTGGGCGATTTCCCCAGAGGTTCCAAGGATGTTCAAATCATCCACATATACTGCTATTATCACAAACCCTTTGTTTGCAAATTTCTTTATGAAGATACATGGACTGATGGGATCATTCTTATAACCTTCTCTGACTAGGTACTCGCTTAATCTATTGTACCACATGCGTCCACTTTGTTTCAGTCCATAAAGCGATTTGTTCAGCCTTATGCAGTATTGGTCCCGAGACCCTTTTTTATCTTTATCTTTGAGCTCAATACCCTCTGGTAATCTCATATATATTATCCAGTGGACTTATATAAATATGCAGGCATTACATCCATTAGCCGCAAATCAAGTCTTTTTCTTTATATAGCCAGACTTAGCAAAATTTAAATGTCTTAGCATCCACCACAGGGGAGTATGTTTCTTCATAATCTATCCCCGGTCTTTGTGAGAATCCTTGTGCTATAAGCCGTGCCTTATATCTCACGCTT